CAGAAACGTCGTTCATTCTTGGTAACCTCTCATTGTTTTCTACCTATGGGGCTCAAATTTCGGAATGTACTATAGCAGGATGTGGAAACTATAGCAATACAGTATTTGCTGGTGAGCACGACGTTTTCTGTGGATACTTGTACCAGAACTTAAAAAAAAAAGTTATCAATGGAGAGGCACACTTACGATAAAATGGTTGAATATGAATATACTAAAGACCCATGTGGTCTCATTCGACGACGCAATGTTTGTTAGAGTCCTGAGAACGTAAGACAAAGCTGCATTACTTGAGGGAAGCAGGCTTAGAACACCCATGTAAGGAGAATTTTACCAGACATAAAGCACACATTTCAAACAAGATTATTTTAAAAAGTAAATGCTCAGCCATTGCTGATCACCGAGGCAAAAAATCCTGGACCCAGTTGTTAAAATAGCGGATAAAACTATTCAATAAAAATATTGCTATCCAGCGGATAAGTGTCACCACAAGGTAGTGCACTGAACACTGAAGATAGATTTACCCAATGGATAGCGTCATCCACCCTTCAAACCACTGTGGCCTGGTCGGTAAAGTAATCTAGAGCTCAGATATGAACCCTGTAGGGTAAAAGTAATAAAGTAAGATTATGATCAGATTCTTATTTTTTTTTAACTATCAGTCGAATTTATCTGCAGAAACCTGTCGCTGTCCAAAGTATCTCTCTGCCTCCAAAAGCCAGTCATCCTTAGACCAAGGAGGAAATGATTCAAAGAGTATAGCAGACATTATCGCCAACACAGTTACAAAATCATGCGGGTACTGTCAAGAACACAATGAAACTGTGCTGTTATTTTCCAACAAGACTGATGAAGAATCTAATCTTCAATTCCCAGTCACAAGGACAAATTCAAGAGGAAGTGAATTCAGCAAGTTTATTTCTGTATTAGAGGTGCCTGGGGTGTTAGCCGTGAAGAGGCAGGACAATGATTCTTCTCGTTTCTACGAAGAAATTATGACTGGTTCTGTGTTTGATATCTGGCCAGTCTTTGTTGTGTCGTTATTGACTGTTTATTCAGCAGGTGTACTCGCTTGGTTTTTGGTGAGCATTTCACGGTTTTACTATGATATATTTATATATGTTTATACATTACGTGCTGTCTTTTTTATAATAACCAAGAAATGGGGTCGACATTTGAAATGATGATGTCTGCATCGAAATGATTGAAGTCTAACTTCCTTTGTCCGCTGTCAAATTCTCCAACACGATAGGTTATCACCAGCCATACTTGAGCATTAATAGGAAAGTTTATACGTCATGCCTGTGCAATTGGACGGTACATGTCATGTGCACACGCTGTGGTTGGGCATTTCGCTGAGTTAACCGGTTTTAAAAACGTACAGTTGCTGGCTGAATTGTCTCTCAAATTTTGTTATTATCGATAAAATTACATCGCATCATCCCAACAAATCGCGCTCCTGCTTCGTGGTCGTCCGATTTTGTTAATCACTCTTATGATTAAAGATCGAATTCGACTCCTCTAGTTTTATTATTATCATTTACTCATGGAACGAGCCTCTAAAAGCCATTTGTCTTTTTGATAGATCGAAATTCTTATTTCACTGTCTTTTGATTTTAGGATAGGGAGGAACAATCCTCATCTTTTGTCGCGGGAGTGTACGAAGGATTCTGGTGGTCATTCATCACCATGACAACAGTAGGGTAAGGACGTCATCGATCTGACGTAAGAGCTTGATGACATAATAGATTAAATCCAGTAGAAGTTATGTCCAGGATATGTGGGTTGATTGATGGATTAATAAACAGGAACTACATCAATATATTTTTTTTCATTAATGTAGTTATGGCGATCGTTGTCCAAAGTCTAAACCAGCAAGAGCGTTTGCAATTGTCTGGTTACTTATCAGTATAGTTCTACTCTCATTCATCATGGCCGCCATGTCATCCACTTTAACTGCTACAGTGGTTCGGTCACAGAAAAAGGACTTCAACATCGATCGAAACAGCAAGGCGAGTTCTTTCTCTTAAAGTCATGGTGCTGAATTGGACTAGACTTAACCCTTTTACTTCCATGAGTGACCAAAACAGCATTTCTCCTCAAATTATCAACACAATATAAAGCAGACAAGTGATGAGAATAAAGCAAAATATCAATTATTAGTTGATCAAATACCAAGTTCTCCTGACTAACATCATAAGAATTGTATGACAGACGTTAAGGAGAATTATTGATGAGATTTTGGTGAAAGGATTAAGCGCGAACATATTTATCGACTTAGTTTGCGGCCAGCAATGGATTAATGGGTTTTCTAATGCAACGTTCAAATGGGTTGCAATTCATAACAGTTCATACAAAAAGCATACGAAAAATAAAAGTTTCTCGGAATATCTGTCCTCTCAGAAAGGTATTCTGTCGTTTCCAGGCAAAACACCAGTCAATTTAGTGTATCTTAGTCGGAAGGAGTGCTTTTTCATCACTGTTCTTGAAAATATCGTTGACATGATATTTTTGATACTAAGAAATTTATTGTAAGCATAACGTGTTGACAGTTTTCTTCCTTTTCCTAAACAGGCAGCAGCGGTAGCTAATTCTCCAGAGTATAAATTGGCTGTGGGATCACTCAGTGCCAAGTTGAAGCTCAGTAGGTGCCTCTCGTTCTCCTCCTACACCTCAGCCAACCACACTCACACCCACCTTCTCTTCCTCAGGGTTAACCCCAATCACGACTTTTCTCTGCTGAGCAGCTGACAATCGTAATAAAGCCACACCAGTAACATATGTTGTCTATTCGCTCATTGGGCTCAGGCTGCTGTTATTTTGAGACTTGCTAGAAAAGGACCACTCGTAATTTATCGCCTAGGAAGGGGGGTTGCTCTTTTATGTATCTTTATATTATCGCCTCTACTCGGTCAAAATGTCGTCAATGACTCATACTCCTCTATTCATATGTCTTTCCTGTTTAATTTTAGCCACAAATTACTCATCAGTAGAGAGACTCATCAGAGCACTCAAGGAGGGCGAAGTTGACTATATTCTTGTTGACATGTATCTTCCTGTTAAACGGAAAGATCTTTTCAATGGCTCTTGGTTCGAAATTGCAGCGCTGTACAAGGCAAAAATAAGTCACGGGATTCTTCTTCGGGGTGACGCCCTAAAACTCGCGTCTGCGTTGGAAGAGATGATAGCATACGATAACGTGCAGACTAATTTTCTAAAAAACAGCAACGATGACGAGGTATGATAAGCTATTTTATCAGAGTAATTTATGAGTTTGTATTCTAAAAAACAACAGCAACAAAGAACTACATGATGGGCGTGAATAGACGGAAGGCTCTGGTGGTGTGGTGTGACATAAATTTCTACGGCTCATACACTTCTCTTGTTAAATATATAAAAGGTATGACATAAGTCACATAAATGCATATTCTCCATTAAAAAAAACAGCTTTTTTTCTAACAGGGAGCAGCTGAGTCGACATCCAACGAGTATCTGTTCTTCGATCCGGCCAGTCCATTTTACAAGCAAATCATATTCGCGGGCCTGGGTATCCTGTGCATCTTCACAGTTTGTGGGCTGGTTTATCAAATGGTGTACACCATAAACAGAAAATGCCAGACGAGTACGTACCAGAATTTTGTTACTTTTCCTACGAGCATTGAATAATTCACCCTCTCACTCCCATCTGTGTCAAAGACATACTTTTCCCTTACAATATCGATACAATATCGATACAATATCGATACAATATCAAGAAGACAAGTTGATTCTCCCCTATGTTCTTTCAATTTTTGAATACCTTAGTGTAAAAACAAATAGAGAAACTCCTTTAAATCAGTTTTGCTGACATTTTAGGTGAACAGGAGACAGAGAGGGATGAAATCCAAAGGGAACTACATTACTTGGTCGATGAATTTTACCGCTCTCTTCGTCAGAAGTATGAAAGACTCAAGAATATGCACAAAAAGAAATTACTTAAAGTGGCTCGTCAGGCTAGAAATGAACTCGAAGCATGCGCAGAAAAACGAAATGAGGCTATGGTCCCATGACCAAGTTTCGCTCCAACAGCCACTTTCTACCAATGTGAGCTTGAATATTCGCTTTAAACTTTATTTCTTATTCAAGACAACTTAACACTAAAAAGAGCATCAAATGCATGTACATTTAAAAATGGAAAAGGGATACGCTTGAGACATGTCGAGTGGTATGTGTCTGTTCAAAAAAAGGATCATCTCGTATTGACCACACCCTGCGGGCAAATGACACTAAGAGCGTGTACTGTAAAAAAAATCTTCAATGCCGTTTAAATTTGACTCAAACTATTATGGTTAAGTCCACCATAGTTATAGTGCTCTCTGACTTGTGTTTTTTTTCCAGAAGTAATGTACTACGTTTGCTTAGTGTTCAGTCAAAGAATTGAACTTATATTTCATCATGTCTTTAAGGATTCCTATAATTGGGATTTGGTGTAACATACTCTCATTCGTGCTCTGATCTCCTGCAGAATTATTCCGGCCATTATAGAATTATCACACCTTTACTACTGTCAAAATTGTATAAAATGAAAACATTGTTAACGTACATTGTTAACCTCATTGTTAACTGACAACTGTGGAAGGCAATTGACACCTTAATTCAAAACAATGTACTGTTGCATTTTGTAGAAAGCATTACCACGGAAAGGTGCCTCAGATACACGAGTTTAGACAGTGATGTCAGTGGCCTAACGGCAAAATCACCCTACGAATTAATTGGCGGTAGAATTCATGACAAATTTAAGTCAAGGCTGTACAAAGTATAGCAGAGATTGTTGTTATTATTTTCATGCTTGCAAATGTGATCAGTAATTTATGCTTTAGACTCAAATATCTGAAAGTTCTTTTTTATCAAGTTTTTCCCTCCTTGTCTCTTTACTTTCTCCAGGTGAATCAGCTCAGCTTTGAACTTTTTTTTTAATTCCTTGTACGTTGAGGAAAATGATGAGTAAAATTCTTTCACCGCTGTTTCCAACTGAGCAACAGAAGCAGTGTTTTCAGGAACGACAGCGTTATTATTGATTCCTGCCATAAGAAAAGTTAGAAAAATCATGATATCTTTTCATTCGAAATTGTCAATAAATCCCAAAACGTGAGTGTTGAATTATGTTTAGATCATCCTTGGGACAATTTCGTACCGTTGTAAGTAAGAACTCGGTTCTTCTCAACTGCAAAAGACTAAAGACTAAAACAAATCATTTCGTACCACAACCTACTATGCTGAAAATCACGGCCAAATATTACACAAATCACGTTCGCATTAGGCATCACTCATTATTTATCACC